AAGATGTAGAGTAAGGCAAACACATAACACATAGAAAATATAGCTCAATATACAGTAGAAAGGACAGATGTAGAAGTAAGACAAACACATAACATAGATAGAAAAAAAAAGCTCAATATACAAGTAAAAAGGACAGATGTAAGAGGTAAAGAATAAAGCCACATATACACATATAAAAATAAAAGCTCAATATACAGTGAGAAAAGGACAGATCTTAGAGATTAGACAAACACATAACACATATAAAATACAGAAGCTCAAATATACAATTAAGAAGGACAGATGTAGAGTAAAGGCAAAACACACATGTAAAATAAATCTCAATATACAGTAAGAAAGGACAGATGTAGAGTACAAAGGCAAACACATATAAAAATAAAGCTCAATATACAAGTAGAAAGGACAGATGTAAGAGTAAAGGCAAACACATAACACATATAAAAAATATAGCTCAATACACACACAGTAGACAAAAGGACAGATGTAAGAATAGAAAAGACAAACACATATAACACATATAAAAATATAGCTCAATATACAGTAGAAAGGACAGATGTTAAATTAAAGGCAAACAGTAGGAAAACAGGATAAAATACAACAATATACAGTACATAGAAATATAGGCTCAATGCACACACATAGAAAGATGAAACACAAGGACACAGGGAATACAGATAAAGATAAAGAGCAAACACTAACACATATTAAATATAAGCTCAATGACAGAGTAGAAAGGACAGATGTAGAGAGTAAAGGCAAACCACATAACACATAGAAAATAAAGCTCAATATACAGTTAGAAAGGACAGATGTAAAGAGCAAGACAAACACATAACACATATAAAGTAAAGCTCAATATACAGTAGAAAGGACAGGTGTAGAGTAAAAGGCAAACACATAACACATATAAAATAAAGGTCAATATACAATTGACAGAGGCCAGTTGTAGAAGTAAGACAAACACATAACACATAGAAAATAAAGCTCAATATACAGTAGAAAGGACAGATCTTAGAGTAAAAGGAAAACACATGACACATATAAAAAAATGTTCATATATACAGTAAGAAGGACAGGTGTAGAGTAAGGCAAACACATAAAAAATAATAAAGCTCAATATACAGTAGAAAGGGACAGATGTAGGAAATTAAGACAAACACATAACATACATATAAAATAAAAGCTCAATATACAGTAGAAAAGGACAGATGTAAATAGGACAGTACAGACATACACACATAGACAAAATATAGCTCAATATACAGTAGAAAGGACAGATTAAGAGTAAGACAAACACACATAACACACATATAAAATAAAGCTGAATATACAGTAGAAAGGACAGATGTAAGAGTAAGGCAAACACATAACACATAGAAAATACATAGCTCATATATACAGTAAGAAGGACAGATGTATAAAACATAGCAAACACATAACACATATTAAATATAGCTCAATATACAGTAGAAAGGACAGATGTAGAGTAAAGGCAAACACACAACACATAGAAAATAAAGCTCCATATACAGTAAGAAGGACAGATGTAAGAGTAAAGGCAAACACATAACACATATTAAAATAAAAGCTCAATATACAGTAGAAAGGACAGATGTAGAGTAAGACAAACACATAACACATATAAAATAAAGCTCAATATACAGTAGAAAGGACAGATGTAGAGTAAAGGCAAACACATAAACACATATAAAATAAAGCTCAATATACAGTGAAAGGACAGATGTAGAGTAAGGCAAACACATAACACATATTAAAATAAAAGCTCAATATACAGTAGAAAGGACAGATGTAGAGTAAGACAAACACATAGCACATATAAAATATAGCTCAATATACAGTAGAAAGGACAGATGTAGAGTAAGACAAACACATAACACATATAAAAAATATAGCTCAATATACAGTAGAAAGGACAGATGTAGAGTAAGACAAAAACACATAACACATATAAAATATAGCTCAATATACAGTAGAAAGGACAGATGTAGTAAGTAAGGCAAACACATAACACATATAAAATAAAGCTCAATATACAGTAAGAAGGACAGATGTAAGAGTAAGGCAAACACATAAACACATATTAAATAAAGCTCAATATACAGTAGAAAGGACAGATGTAGAGTAAGGACAAACACATAACACATATAAAATAAAGCTCAATATACAGTAGAAAGGACAGATGTAGAGTAAAGGCAAAAACACATAACACATATAAAATAAAGGTCAATATACAGTAGAAAGGACAGATGTAGAGTAAGACAAACATATAACACATATAAAATAAAGCTCAATATACAGTAAGAAGGACAGATGTAGAGTAAGGCAAACACATGTAAAATAAAGCTCAATATACAGTAAGAAGGACAGATGTAGAGTAAGGCAAACACATATAAAATAAAGCTCAATATACAGTAGAAAGGACAGATGTAGAGTAAGGCAAACACATAACACATAGAAAATATAGCTCAATATACAGTAGAAAGGACAGATGTAGAGTAAGACAAACATATAACACATATAAAATATAGCTCAATATACAGTAGAAAGGACAGATGTAGAGTAAGGCAAACACATAACACATAGAAAATATAGCTCAATATACAGTAAGAAGGACAGATGTAGAGTAAGGCAAACACATAACACATATTAAATATAGCTCAATATACAGTAGAAAGGACAGATGTAGAGTAAGGCAAACACATAACACATAGACAAAACACAAAAATAAAGCTCAATATACAGTAAGAAGGACAGATGTAGAGTAAGGCAAACACATAACACATATTAAATAAAGCTCAATATACAGTAGAAAGGACAGATGTAGAGTAAGACAAACACATAACACATATAAAATAAAGCTCAATATACAGTAGAAAGGACAGATGTAGAATAAGGCAAACACATAACACATATAAAATAAAGCTCAATATACAGTAAGAAGGACAGATGTAGAGTAAGGCAAACACATAACACATATTAAATAAAGCTCAATATACAGTAGAAAGGACAGATGTAGAGTAAGACAAACACATAACACATATAAAATATAGCTCAATATACAGTAGAAAGGACAGATGTAGAGTAAGGCAAACACATAACACATATTAAATAAAGCTCAATATACAGTAGAAAGGACAGATGTAGAGTAAGACAAACATATAACACATATAAAATAAAGCTCAATATACAGTAAAAGGACAGATGTAGAGTAAGACAAACACATAACACATATAAAATATAGCTCAATATACAGTAGAAAGGACAGATGTAGAGTAAGGCAAACACATAACACATATAGAATAAAGCTCAATATACAGTAAGAAGGACAGATGTAGAGTCAGGCAAACACATAACACATATAAAATAAAGCTGAATATACAGTAGAAAGGACAGATGTAGAGTAAGAGAAACATATAACACATATAAAATAAAGCTCAATATACAGTAGAAAGGACAGATGTAGAGTAAGGCAAACACATAACACATATAAAATATAGCTCAATATACAGTAGAAAGGACAGATGTAGAGTAAGACAAACACATAACACATAGAAAAAAAAGCTCAATATACAGTAGAAAGGACAGATGTAGAGTAAGACAAACACATAACACATATTAAATAAAGCTCAATATACAGTAGAAAGGACAGATGTAGAGTAAGACAAACACATAACACATATTAAATAAAGCTCAATATACAGTAGAAAGGACAGATGTAGAGTAAGTCAAACACATAACACATATAAAATAAAGCTCAATATACAGTAAAAAGGACAGGTGTAGAGTAAGGCAAACACATAACACATATAAAATATAGCTCAATATACAGTAGATAGGACAGATGTAGAGTAAGGCAAACACATAACACATATAAAATAAATCTCGATATACAGTAGAAAGGACAGTTGTAGAGTAAGAATATGAGCCTGTTACATGCCAGTTTTCCTTTCGCCAGTCATATGAACCCAAGGACCGAAGGCTGACATGGTAGTCTGGACTTTGTCAGACTGTGATGATGAGACATGTTGTTTAGCTGGGACTTGAAAAGCGAGAGTGTTTCGAGTTCTTTAAGTTCACTTGGGAGTTTGTTCCATAGAACTGCAGTCTCGGTCTAAAGTAAACTTAGGCTCAGTATTATTCGTTTGAACCGTTTGAACTATTACCTCGAAAACTCGAACGATTCCGAATGCTATTTTCCGCACGATCGTTTCCGATTGATACACATGGCGGACGCATTTATTCACAACAGCGAGTAAACAGTCGCTGAAAATAGCGTTGTTGTCAATATTCTAGGATGTCATCTTGCGGAAATATAAGCTAATAGTAACCATGTCATCAGAAACCCCTACTTGTATATATTGCAGGTAAAATATATGTGCTTTAAGCGGATTTTCGTTATTGAGAGATCAGTGTCAGCGGATGGAGAAGAGAAAATTCCAAAACCGTTTTGTAAGTCCCGCCGAACCCTAAAAAATAGCCGTTGTCTGATTGGTTAAATCCGTCTCGGACGTCTCGCGTTTGATTGGAGGGGCATAGGTCGCTCAAAGGTTTGACGCGACCTTCCATTAGGGTTTGTTAGACTCAGTATAGCAGTGTAACGAATAATACCGAGCCTAAGTTTACTTAGAATGCTGCAGTTTGAGATGGATGATTTGATGTTTGATTAGGGTGGTTAAACTTGTTGTTGGAAGTGGGTTTCTACCGGGTTGAAGGTTTCACCGACGTTTGGGTCGTCATTAATCTTGTAGATAACCGCTTTTGGGGTGAAATACTCTTCAGATCTGATGTGAAGTGATATACTTCTCATTACAATGTTGTAGTCATTCCACATTGATGCTTGTGTAAGCATCTACGTCGACACGTTGTTCAATGCCGTCAACCAGAAGTTGCTGTCAACATATTTGTTTTTCTGTACATTCACCTGCTTCTGGAATTCCTATCGCATAGTCACTAACAATGTTGCATTGTTTTAATTACAGATGTCCTGCCCACTTTGGAAAGTAAGTACATATGTGAACTTCACAGTTAGCGTAACATACTTGTTAACTTTGGGATAATATAGTATGACCAGAAATTATTGAGAATTTTCGGAATATGTTTAATTGGATTTCTAGTATAAACAACCTTGACCAGCTATCAAGCGCTTGGTTTCATTCAAGAGAGACAACTCCGTTTATCCCTATTCATTAGTTTGTGAAAAGTTATCCACCTTTGTTTACTTACTAGCAGACGACGTTTTCAGTGATCCTCTTTATGAATGATTTAGAAAAGATGAAGTTGATTTTAGAGTATTATAACAAGGACATCAGATCAGCTAAAGTGATTTCAGTAGAACAGGCATCCCTTTGTGCACTGTTTATTGTGCGTTGAAAAATATTGCAAATGGATATGGCATTGAGCACCAGGGAGGCGCAGGTAGGCCCAGAAAATTGACTGTCGGTGACAGGAGGCGGCTTGGTATTCTTGTTTCTAAAAACAAACGAAGGAGTTTAGAAACCTTAAGGCTGGATATGATTGATAGAGGAACTGTGGCTGTCTGTAAGGAGACAATTAGAACGGCAATGGGTTGGCAGAAAAGTCGAGGAATCCATCATCGATCAAGAAACCTGAACAAAAGGAGCGAAGGTTGAACTTGTGCTTACAGCATAGAAATTTTAACTGGGACAATGTGATTTTTTTCAGATGAAAGTTCTGTGTGGCTGTTTCCTAAAACACTGAAATTCTGGACCAAACAAACTGAAAAACCTTTGTAACAGCGCCTAAAGTACAGTCCGAAATGTATCGTGTGAGGTGGCATATCTGTGTTAGGGGCAACGCCCCTCTGTGTATTTGAAGGGAATATGAACAGTGAGCGGTATACAGGTATTCTCGGGGGACATTTATTTCCATCTGCTCACGTGTTCTATGGAAATTTTTTGTTTTGATTTTCCAGCAGGACAACGACCCAAAACATAGTTCAAAGCATTCACAGGCCTGGTTTCGGACCCAAAATATGACATTAATAGATTGGCCAAGCTATAGCCCTTACCTAAATCCAATAGAAAATGTTTAGGGAATTATGAAGGAAAGTTTCAATAAGAAAAATCTGACAAATATTGCTGAAATGAAAGAAGAGGTGGTCCGATATTGGGACAGCATGGACCACGACTTTCTAACTTCTTTGATCAGTAGTATGCCCCGCCGCATTGAAGCCTGCATTGCTGCCCATGGTGACTTGACAAAATACTAACTGTTCACCTGTCTTTGAATCTGGAGTTAAGTTTCTGCTAATATGCACACTTAATACGTGAGTAATGAGTGAAAAAAATATAAAAAATTACAATCTTGAAATTCTCAATAATTTCTGGTTGTATTGTACATAACTGGGTGGTCTGTCCGTGGGTGGATCGCAGTGGGTGGTTTTAAGTTCTATCTGAAGTATGCAAAGTCCCGACAGAGGTCATGAAGCATGTTGTGTCTGGAATGAGATATGTGTGCAGTTATTGCAAGATCTGAAAACAGCGTAGTGTAGGAGGATGCATTTTGGTTATTACATGTTATTGTGGTTATACTGGTGACGGTATTCACCCACGGTGAACGTGGCGTGTGTTGTACTGGTGACGGTATTCACCCACGGTGAACGTGGCGTGTGTTGTACTGGTGACGGTATTCACCCACACCGAGCGTAGTGTATCTTGTACTGGCGTCAGTATTCACCCACAGTGAGCGTAGTGTATGTTGTACAGCGACGGTATTCACCCACAGTGAACGTGGTGTATGTTGTACTGGCGACGGTATTCACCCACAGTGAGCGTGGTGTATGTTGTACTGGCGACGGTATACACCCACAGTGAGCGTGGGGTATGTTGTACTGGCGACGGTATTTACCTACAGTGAGCGTGGTGTGTGTTTTACTGGCGTCAGTATTTACCCTAAGTGAGCGTGGTGTGTGTTGTACTGGCGTCAGTATTTACCCACAGTGAGAGTAGTGTATGTTGTACTGGCATTTATATTCAGCCTTGTTTAATGTTCTACTTAAAGTAACATTCAGATGCAGTGCTTTGTGCAATGAAATTAATGCGGTAGCTTTGAGTGAACAACAGAGCTTGTGGTGGATTCGTTTTGTGCTATATAATATTGGCATTATCATAGAGTTAGAACGTGCTATGTGAAACTGGCTTTAACACAGAAATACATTGTAGTTCGTTTAATGGTTTGTTGTCTTGGCATTGATACTTGTTCTATATGTATGACGCTGTGTGTAATAATGACGCTGACATTGTTACAGAGCTAGCACCGACACTCCTCAGCACGGCCGTCACAGCAGCTGTTGGAAGAAGGGATCTGTAAGTGAACGAGTGTCAATAACCTGTTATCCGCAATAATACAGACATTACATTGCGGCTATTACCAGGAATGGACTTCAGAAATAGGAATCATGTATGTCATTGAACGTGTTACCCACTGCCCAGTACATGTAAATATACACTGAACACTGGTACAATCTACTAACCTCCGATATGCATTTTCTAACTTTAAAATATAAATATCATGCAATGAAAGTTTTATTAATTTTTACAGAAAGTGGTTAACAATATACACCTGTTACGGATACACGCTGTCATATATATATATATATACATTGAGGTGGACAATATAGCGCCTTTTTCAAAATGTAGGTACTTATCTGCCAAGCATATTATGACCCCGTCTTTCTTTCCCACCACAGTGAGAGGAGGAATATCTTTGATGACATAAAGAAAGGTCTAGAAAATGTCGGCCATGCCATCACTGATGCCGCTAAAGGTGAGATGTTTTATTGCCCCAATGACGCCATTGCCTCTACTCTGTAAAAACAGTATTCAAAGTAAACACAAACATGCACAGACAAACAGGAACCTGTACTCTGTTACAAAAGCATTCAAAGTAGGGCACAACTACAAAATACCGCATACCTACCAGCCATATTGTTTAGTGTCACGTCACCCTAACCCTAACCCTAACCCTAACCCTGAACCCTACCCTAACCCTAACCCTAACCCTAACCCTAACCCTGAACCTTACCCTAACCCTAACCCTAACCCTGAACTTTACCCTAACCCTAACCCTGAACGTTACCCTAACGCTAACCCTAACCCTGAACCTTACCCTAACCCTGAACCTTACCCTAACCCTAACCCTAACCCTGAACTTTACCCTGACCCTAACCCTGAACCTTACCCTAACCCTGAACCGTACCCTAACCCTAACCGTAAACTCGCGTGCTTTCAAAGATGACGGCAGGTGTCCGGTATTCTGTAATCTTACACAAAGTAGACACAAACAAACACAGGTTGCTGCACAGAAGCACAGGAACCCAACATTGCCAATGTCAGGACGCACAGTGCTGCATCAAGTAATCTCGTGTGTTCTAACTGTAATTTAAATAAATGGTATCATATAAAATAACAAGTGCATTACTTTTCTAGCCGCTCTACCCGTTGTAGAAGAGATTGGGAAACGTGAGTATTTGTACATTCTATTAGTTTGAGAATGCACCTAGTACAGGTTGATAAAATATATCTTCCATTTACTAAAAAATGTTATAATTAGGATGAAAATGTGTATGTGTGTGTATCAAATGTAAAGTCAAACGTTTTATATTATTTCTTCATGGATGATACTGTGTCACAAATTTGTGTGGAATAACAAGGTTTGAAGGAATTCAAGACAGCTAAGGAAACGCCTTTGTTTCAGATGTGCTCCCAGTTGCTGAAA